GTTGGTACCAATGTCCCGAGGTTGTGGTGGTGGAGAAGAGTAGATGTGGTCATCAGACGATGGAGGTGGTGGAGGGAGGTGGAGGAGAATAGAGTGTTTTTGTTATTTTTAATATTTTCATAAGTTTTGAACTGATTTGCATTTTTAAAAAAGTTTAGGAGCAGATTGTAATTTATTCTTTATTTTTCTTTTCTTTTTTGTTTTATTTATATAGGAGGGTATATTGATCATTTCATGTTAAAAATTGGTGAAAATAACGTTAAGTGCAAAGAATGTGAAAGGTAGGGAAGTTCTGCACCAAAAAACGAAGGGTATGGACGTTTTCTATAAAAACCTTCAAAGATAGAGACGTTTTGCGCCAATTACCCAAACATTAATTATCACCAAAAGCAACATACGAGTAAGGTAAGCACGTGGAAACATTCCATCAGGGTTCTCAATTTTCACCATACACAATAAAAATGATAAATTGGTTGGATGAAGTCCTTGTTTGAGCTCCATCATTTGAAAAAAATTAAATTTGAAATAGTGTTTTTCGAAGAATGTGTGATTATAAAATAAGAAGAATTTTTGAGTTTATCTATCATATTATTTTATTGAGAGAATATGTAATTGATAAAAATAAAAAAAATAAATTAAAATTTAATGGGGACAGACATGGGCCAAATTAATAAAAGATTAACAGGAGATCTAAATTCTAAAGTCAATTATTATTAATGCATAGATGGAGGACATAAATTTTAAAAAAAATGCAGATTTGGCTACAAAATTATTTTCTAGTTCTTTAGATTCAAAATGTGACATGAAAGACAGGTCAGCCTTCCCCAGTAAAGCCTACTCAACCTTCTACAGCTATTTGGCTACCTCTTGCAACTATTGAAGGACAAGGTCTAACGTAATATAGAAAGGCGTGCATTGACTCTTGATGAAGATATTTTTTTTATATGCGCGTGAGCACGTTCTCATTTTCATTATTCTACTCAATTTTAAATCACACATTTTTCAGTAAAATAATATTTTTCATTATATTAATAAATTTTTCTTATTTTTTAATTACATATTCACCATCACATCAAAAAAAAATAAAATTGCATTATTTCTATTTTAATGTGTATCAAACACGCTATATGTGAAATCTGACTTCTTTTAGATATAAAAAATAATAATTAAAATATAAAAGCTAAACTATTAGTACCATCTGATTCTGTTAACAAGTTTGTTCTTTTAGGATAGACTCGATAACTTGAACTATTGCACATGGATGATCGAATTGACCCTATCAACTTTGATCGAGCATAAAATAAATGATACATGTACATAATAATTTACATACACATGATATTGTGAAATATGATTGGATACAATTTTTTCAACCAAAAAAAAAAAAAAACTTCAATTTTTAAACACCATGTAAATCATTTACCGGCCGCATTATTCTAAAATAAATTTACTAAATAAATGCAGTTCTCTTTGTACCTGTTAAGATATGTTCATCAATTTCTCCCTTTTTAGGTAGAGAAATTTGGCATGTGCTCATTGAATTAAAATATTCGGGTCGACTAGTCTAACCTTGAACGAGGAAATATCGATCAATCCTTGAACCCAAAGACATTATTTCGCTTAAGGAAATGTAGTGTCGAAAGAATCGTAAAATGAGAAATTCTATCAGTCTAAAGCTCAAACTAATATTCAGATTCCAAGAATTGATTGATTACTTTTCTTAACAAAATTGACATTTCAAGATGAAACTTCAAATCTTAATAGAATAGCCACGGAAACTGAAAACTGTTCCTGCCCATCTCAATCATTGACAACTTACCCAGGACCAAAGCCCCGACTTCGAAGTGTAATCCCAAATTTCTATGAGGAAAGTAAGGAATGTACAAGGAAACAACTCTAAGAAAGAACTCTTCATTTTTTATTCTAACAAGGCCTTCAACATGAAAAGCCCCGGCTTCTCTTGACAACAGAAGTAGAAAATGTATAGAAAACCAATCTTGCACTCAAGTAACAAAACTCTGCCTTGTAAAAAAGGGAAGCCAAAAACCTGCCTCTGGCAACAAAAGAGACACCTCCACCTACCTTGCATCAAATGTCAAATAACAGATTGGAATTTATACAGAAGCATGAAGAGAAAAATATAATATAGTACTCGACTGCATTGTGTAGCGCAGTAGATTAATTTATCAAATATCTATATGCTTTTCAACTCTTGACACATTTAACAGGGATTCAACACAAAAGGATGCAATTTTGATTTTCATGAATAACGCTAAAAGTCAGCTTCATTATAAGGAAGATCTCACTGTAAGTCAAAGATGAGAAATATATTCTCACCTGCAAAGGTAAATAATCAAATCAGCAATGAGTAAAATATCAACCAATTTTAATTGTAAAAATTGCCCAGGAGGGAAATGTAGTTGGCGGTTGGTTTGAGGTTGGGGGGGGGGGGTGTGGGGGTTGCAAAGTCCAAGTAACAAAGTAATATATGTTGATACAAAGGAAACTAAAATAAGTAAACAAAGAATAATTGAATGCTCAAGGAAATTTCTCTCTGCCTTAGATATATACAGGAAGGCCACACAATGCTTATTTTCTTCTCTCTAACCTAAAGTAGACAAAATGAAACTGATTTCCAAGGAGAGTTCATGTAAAATTATGGTTTCTTTACAATAGAAATATCATGCATGGTGATGTAAGCATTGCCACCATTTTGCCCAAAATCTACAGCTCGTGGAGTAGGTACAATCCACCCTATATCAACCAAAAGTAAATACTCCCTCCGGCCTCCACCCCAAGCTCACTTCCTTTGGGTTTACCTTGTTTCAAGCGTGCTCCTACATTATATGGCCTTTCACTCAGCATACAACAAAGTGATTACAAGTTCACTTTATACTAGTGAAATATGAACATGACTGAAAAAACCAGCTGCTGTTCTGTTCAAGATAAAAGACCAGATAAATTAACAAATTGAGTTCAATTCTATTGTGCATCATTGGACATTGTTAGCTTGGGAAGACTTCGATTCAACACAATGCAATTCACCAGCATGAAAGCAAGGAGCACATTTGAACTCAAGACCTTTGCCTTCTATCAGGTGCATCTGTTTTTTCAGGGGCCCGAGACATAGAATATTCATAAATAGGCTATATAGAGACTTGAACTCAACATCTTTGCCTTCTTTAATATCACATTGAATCATCAAGTTATATTAAAGTTTAAGCTATTTTGGAAGAGCAACAACATATTTGAATTTAATAAACATGGTGCAATGCAATCTAAATATACACAATTATACATTTACAAATAGGAGAGTCGGATGATTCTTTGAGATTACATCTCATTTATATAACGTATGTTCTTCATCAAACACAAAAAACAATCAATTGCCATGCCAACATTCGCTCTAAATAAACAAACCTTTGAAACAAGAACTTCAAAATACTCATTCGCATTAACTCATCCGACAGTCTAATTAAGAAAGAGATTTTTCGAAACAACAATGAATATTTCACTTATTTCTTGAGGTAGGATCACTGTTCTCTCCATTAAACCTCTTTTAATCTATAATATATTAAATATCACATTAAGTGATAATCATTTTTTAGACGATTCTAGCTCTACTATAATTTAATTATTTTAATAATATCTTACTTTTCGTCTTTCAGTATGTATTTAATTCATTTAATCATTTAGTTACCATTAATGTACATGCACATTTGACAGATTCATTTCATCTGTGTGCTTTCATTAATGTATGAATTCCCTATTATTAATTCTTAATTAATTAACATTCACATTCAATTAATTAATATTCATCTTCATTCATGCTTTGTGCTATTAATTCTAATTATAAATTAATTAGAATTTCACATTCAAGAATGCATTTCATTATTCACATTTATGTATGCTAATTAACATCTTGTTTTACTTAATTGAAAATTGAATAAATAATTTAATATTCATTCTCATGTATATATTTCCTGTTATTAATTCTAAATTAATTAACATTCACACATATTTAAATATTACTTCTACAACACTTATAAAGTATTTCATAATAACATGCAACGCACGTTCAACATTGACTAGTATCCCTAAATATACTAAAACCTACCAAAAATTAAGCAACATCAACTGCACAAAGCGATTCTAGTCACATTCGAGAAAGGTCATTGGAAGTGCACCATACAGACCACTGATCCTCTTGTGAAGAAAACATTATTAACTCTGAAGGAAGCTATACTTTACTCCCAAAAACAGAAGCTTGCTTTTTTTTTTTATCATCAACATAGTTGAGCTACCACGTTAAAAACCTTTAACTTCTTCATATTATATGGTTGTATAAATACGATACAGTGATATCCAAGTAAGCACTATAGGAAAGAGTGAAGTACCTATTGTTGATCCTTAATCTAAGAACTTTCCAATGCATGCCAGAATTCACCACACCATGCACACCACACCACCCTGCACACTATATAACACAAATACTTGAACCACTGTTTTCAAACCAATCAACATATTTAACAATACATATATGTACATAATAGCAAGCAAGGCCATCAAAATACTGATTAGATTAATCTGATGAAGCTGAGAATGCTCTCAGTTGAGCTTGTTATTAAAATTCAATGATGCCACTAGGGGCTTCGAACTAGGGGTTGCATTAATGAACCTATGTTACCCCACCAAAAAAAGAACTATGCTAGGTGTACAATCTACCCACTAATGATTGTACCAATAGTTTTTTTGCAAAAAAAAAAAGTCTTTATATACACTTTCTTTTCAACTTATCACCTCGTTGAAAGTGGAAACAAGTGCCTACATACACTCCAATTAATTGGTGGGGCTCACATTAATGTGAGTGTGTTGTAAGTGTTGTAACCCACTAATGATTATACCAATAGCTTTTTTGCCAAAAAAAAAAAGTCTTTATATACACTTTCTTTTCAACTTATCACCTCGTTGAAAGTGGAAACAAGTGCCTACATACACTCCTAATGTTTCAATGATGCCCCTAATTTTTCTTCTTCCACCGACCAACCACTACCACCTTCCTTCAACAACTCTGCCAGTCCAACTTCTCCCAACCCCCTAACCATCACGGTGACCCTACTGTCAGCCAAGCCTATCAAGGCCAATGATTTGCAGGGTTTGCAGCTAGCTATTTAGAGAAATATATTGTTTAATTTTATGTAATTGATAGGTTTCCATACATGAATAGAATCACAAATTATGGCTGATTTTCGGCCCTATAACTAGGCGTACAGCCTCTATTTAAATGAAGGGACTCTCACAATGACAGGTATCAAGTTCAATCACAATATCATTGTAATTGACACCTATTACCTCCCAATCCTCTAATCTCAACCTTCTCCGACTTCCCATACCCACCTCCTCATAACCCCTCCAACGAAGTAGAGGTGAGTCGCCTGCAACAGAGGTGAAGGCAAAGTGAGGGATAGGGGTCGAGAAGAAGTTGTGATTAGAGGATTTGTAAGAGGTAACTGGGGTTTGGGAACAAGAAGGTGGCAGTAGAGTTGAAGCACTATAATTTTGGGAGAAACAGGGTGATGGTAGTTGTAAAGGTGGAAAGTGGAAGGAACAGAATTTGGGTAAAATGGTGTTATGATGCAGGGTAAATGGGCATTTAACATTTTGTTCCAAGAATTTCCAAACACAAAATTTTCTAATTGCAAATCGTAATGTCGAAGACATGTAAGCACAGACCTTGTGAACCTTTATCATCACTCTCAACACTAATTTGTCCAAAAATGCTAACAATAGCCTTTCAACACAATTAGGACTTCCTACAGATTCTATTCTGTGGATTCATTTGCACCCTATCCGTAGTAAACTACACATCTCTCCACGTAAAAGAACTAAAAACACATAAAACCATAAGTAAATTTCTCAACGTCTCCTCACTTTAAACATATTATTTTTAGTTTCATCACCCACAGAGAAGTAAAGCAAAAATAAGTTTTCAAATCGAAGTAAATCTAAATAGGTAGGTTGTTTCCCTTAACCCGAATCATTCATTACATATCCATCAAACATTACAGATGATTTCATTGCCAAAATAAGGATGCTGCTATCTAAAAGTACCCATTCCAAAAAGTCAGTGATTCCAACTATTAAGATATCCCCTTTGCGACAAAATATCAAACTACTTTAGAGCACCCACTAATCACCATTACTCATTGAGCATACTGAGTCACTGATCACCATTATCCCCATCATATCCACCACCCATCTCACAAACTTTTTTCCAAACATCCTCCTCCACCGGCACAACCGACAACCTTGGCTGCCTGAACAGACTAAACTCCACCCCCTTCAGCTCCCTTTTCATCTCAGCCAAGTTCACCGGCCTCCTCATCTCCCCTACCTTCTTCACATCCACCGCACCACCACCATCACTGTCGTCTTCATACCACTGACGCCCCACGCAGACCACGCCCACCACACGACGGGCTTTCGTGCCCGAATGGTAGAAAAAACAGAGGTCCCCTATTCGCATGGATTTCATATTCTTCTGGGCTTGCTTGTTCTTCACCCCGTCCCACTTTGATACACCTTCATTGGCCTCTTGGTCCTCCCATGACCACTCTCCTGGTTCCGTTTTCAGTAGCCAGTACTTTTTCGCTTCACCCATCTATTCTTTCTGGATTGTTTTGGAACTAGAAGGAAAGTTCGGGGGATGGTTCGACCTTTCAGGGTTTGGGTCCTTTTTCAAAATGGCGTTTAGGCGAGGTAGACATGGTTCTACTTGGTTCTGATCTCGATGGAATCGAACATGTATATATATTCCCATTTTATCTATATTATTATCTCATTAAAATAAAAAATATGACTTTTATTTTTTACATTAACATTTAAATTCAAATTTTCTATCTCTTATGTGGTCCCAATAACGACTATATTTTTCATTCTCATTCTACAATAATTTGGTTCAAACAGTAGCCTCAGTTTGAACTACATTCTCATTTTCATTTTCATTGTTATACTCATATTCAATCGCACATTTTTCAATAAAATAATATTTCTGATCACATCAATAATTTTTTCTTCATTTTCAACCACATATTCCCCATCATATAAAAAAAAAAAAAATTTTTGCACTCTCTCCTAAAAAATTGCATCACACACACGTGTGTGTATATAAAAAATGAAATCAATGTTTTTTTTTTTTTTGAAACAAAATCGACGGTTTGGTTTGATTTGATTTTGATTTCATTACTTAAATTTTCAAATGATAAATGCAAATTAAAATCTATCACTATATCCATAAATCAGTAATGTATATCTAGATCAAAAAAATAAACATTCAACATTAACAAATTTAACTTCAAATTATCAATCAACAAATGAAATATTGTGTAAATTCATTTACAAAAGTCCAAAATAACAAACAAAACATAATCATAATTTGAATACACAAATATCAAGTCACATCTCATAAAAAAATATTGTTCAATAACAATGATTCACTCATATAGACGAATGAGTTATTGACAAAAGTTGATTTTTTTAGTATGATTTTGAAAAAAATATATAGCAAGAACCAAACCAAATAATAATTCTTGATTCAAAGAACCAAAAATCATTAATTTTTTTTTAGAATCGAACCGCTTTGATTTGGTTCAATTTTGATTTGCTTTGACTTGGTATGGTATGGTATGGTCATTTTGTCCATCCCTATTGCCCGGCTTAATTTTGTAAATCTAGATTCCTAGAAAGAAATTGTCAATGGATATCGAATTGTGAATGACTTTCACGTGACTTTAAATAATATAAAGTTGTTTAAAGATTTTGTCCTTCAACTTTAAATCGCATGCAAATTTGTCATCAGTATCTACAATTTCTAGCACATGGAGTCTCAATTTTACGAATTTAATTAGGTTGGTTGGAGACTAAATATAACACTAATTGAAATGTTAGGGAGTCAAGTATTAAATTTTCTTAACTTCACTAAGAGCCACTAAACTTTGTACTAAATGTTATACTGGCCACTGAACTGTTCACTTAATGTTATCTTGACCACAAAACTTTAGTTTCTTTTAAGTTGATCACTAAATATTACAAAACGTTTCTGTCAGATCACTAAGTTTTAGACCTCTTTCTGAAGATCAAATGCATCCATGTGCCAAGTTGTAAAATCGAAACAAGTCAAGCCGCCCGGCCACAGTAGGCAGGTTGCTTCCTCTGTTGTCGCCATGGCCTAAGAAGATGGATTGCATTGCGAGAATAGGTAGGCCTGGTTAGCGGCACAACATCAGGAATGGATTCAATCAACGGATTCCCCATATTGATAATACGAAGAAGGAAAATGTGACGCTAAGGACATTTTTGGTACTCTTCGAACAAGACTAAACAAATGACAATATTTTAGCTTCTTAACAAAAACGTATATGGATCTACTAAATTATTGGCTTGCATTGCATCTAAATTATTATAGACGACAATATGCATAAATGAACTATGTAATGAAAACTCTCAAAAAATTTAATATAGTTATCGAACATAAAATTTAAATGAGTTTAAAGTTACAAAACCTCAGATACCTAACACACTAAACGGGTTTAATTAACACGTTATTACCATTATCCAGATGATTAAAATTGAGCTCTACCGGTTCCAAGACAGACATTGGAACAAAGCAAAATTTGTAGCCACATGGTGCAAGGAAGCATATATGGAGGTAGTAGCATGAAAACATTTACCGAACTTCTCCATCCTCACCAAGTTCCGTCTCTTTATGCTCCTCGGGATCACTACTCCTATAAGAATGCTTCCGATCCCTCCTGTGTCTTTTGTGTTGGCTCTCAGAATCTGTGTCTGAAGTCTGCGTAAAAGAAATACTCGTCTCTTCAGAACGAAAATACATGTACATGTAAAAAGAAATTCTTCTTTTTTCTACCACCACACAAAGGTGGAGTATTTATTCATACTTCAAGAAAAAACACGAACAGTAGGTGACATACAATGTAAAAGTATGATTCAAAAAAATTAACCAAACCAAAAGACTGGAATTAAAAGATTAAAAGGGCTCAGTTCCACAACTTTGTATATACAAAGTCAACAGCAGGATACCTGCTTTGATTTTTTGTGCTCGATGCTACGTCTGTGAGAGTTAAACCGATCTTTCTCATTATCATCAAAAGAATCCCTATGCCGCTTCCCATGTTTCTTATCCTTGTCTCTTCCTGACCTTCTATGCTCTTCCAAACTGTAAGACTCACTTTCATCACTTTCTGTTCCATCTTTCTTAACTCTCTCTCTCTCCTTTCTGCTATCAACTCCTTTCTCTCTATTCCTCTTCTCCCTTTCCTTCCGCTTCTCCTTGTCCTTTCTCTCTTTTTCCTTTTTGGCCTGCAAACAATACATTTTTGTCCATGAATTGAATGATCAGTTCAATATTTAAATCCTAATATTGACATTATTTTTCCATTTCGAAACTATAAGATTGCACTTGGTGCACTGGATTAGACTGTACAAGGAAATAAAGCATAACATTATTTAGAGGAGATAGTACTAGGTGGATACTATCAAGGGGTGGATTAAGTTGGATAGTATTCCTAAGTTTTCATTTAGAATAGCCAGCCTAAACACATCTCTTCCCCGTATTATTTTATTCGGTTAGCTAAAGAAAGATGGTGCAAATAACATTCTTTTCAACAAAAAACTAAAGAATACTATCCACCCTAATATGTAGTACCATCTACTCTAGTCCATTGTGCCAAACACAACCAAAATGTATAATTGTAGATAAATCAATCACAAATTCTTCCAAGACCAAATTGATGCAACAGGAAGTTCGAAAGTTCCTACTATTGATTCCATAAGGGGTTTTTAATACCTTTTCCTCCTTCCGCTTCCGCTCCTTCTCTTTTGACTTCTCTTTTAGTTCTGTTATCACTTCATCAAAGATTTCCTGGAAAAAGCCTTCATCCCCTGTGAACCTATCAACAGCATACAGATCAGACTGGTTGGTTGAAGCTTTAGGGAGGAAAAGGGGGAGCTCAAAACCATAAAAGCAAATAAAGCAGGTGCACATTAATTTTTAACTTACAATGAAACCAACATCTGAGAAATTTTAAGCAAATGTACAACGATTGTACGCATAAATGTCTCATCATTAATAATCACATTACAGGGAAGGAAAAGGCAAGACTGAAAGTCTGAAACTATTACAGAGCTTTGTAATAATGACCTATATTTGTGCTCCAGATAACTATTGTAGAGATCCTTAAAATAATGGTTGAAATGCCTTTACCTATCTTCAATAAGTGATTTGCAATCCTCCCATCTTGAAGATGCAGTAATTTCCTGCTTAATCACAAAAAACATATATATTAAAGATAAAGAATTAATAAATCCGTGAAATGCAAGAATTTGTATTGATGATCACAAACAGCTTCATATACCTTTGAAGAATATAAAAAATCATATAAATCATCTGCAAGACGTTTACGCTTCTTAGCTTCTTTTTCCTCTTTCTCCTTGGCTCTTTCTAGTAATTCATCAAATATAAGCTGTTATGTGGCAATGCACACATTAGCTTTACAAAGACGCAAGCAATTAAAGTCAAAAGACTCAAAACAAATGTATAAGAAGGAATATTTACAAGGCAAGCAGGAAGTTAACCAGGTTCAGATTATATGAGTAATTCAAGAATTAGTTAATATATAATTTAATTTATGATCAGTGTCAAATTAAATCATTCAACTACTACGTCAAATTCCCTAAAATGATACAGAAGAGTAGCCCATATGCCATGAGGTAGAAAATCACAAAGGACGGCTAACTGAGCACATTAGGATATGCCTAGCAGGAAGAACCCACGACCCATCGCGGAGCACTCTCTCACTGATTTAGTGAGATAAGTGTTAAATTATCCTCCATCTTCGATTATGAGTCGGGGGATGCGAACATAGTGGCCCTAAAATACCTTCTGCGCTATCTTAAAGGCGAAAAACTTCCATTTTGAGACCGCGACCCATCGCGGAGCGCTTTCTCACTGATTTAGTGAGATAAGTGTTAAATTATCCTCCAGAGTCTAGTAAAAAAATGTCCCTACTGGCCTTACTTTCTCAACAGTGAAGATTGATGGGATTTTCGTATTTATACTCCAGTTTAGAGGTTATTCCCACTGTCTTATCTTCTACATAGCTCAGTATAAACAGAAAATTGAATTCAACAAAAGACAATATAGAAGCTATGAATTAGTCTGTACTAAGAATTCTCATCTTCGCAATGGCAAGAAATAATTAAAACAGAAAATCAGGAAGTACAATACTGGAGGCAGGCTACGCTAAACCTCCAATTAAAAGGGACAGCCTAACTCCACATGTAATGGAGGTATCCCCTCCCTTACAAGTCCAATCCTCACATGTGATGAAACTAAACACAAAAATATGGTAAAAATGGAGTTCTTTAGGAGGATAAATTTTGGACATATATGCAGAATAATCCAAAGAAGCCAAGTGCCTCATCTTCATCATATTAAATATGACAAATTGTCAATGAAGCAAAGCATATAATGCAAATGAGTTTGAACAAACTAGAAGTTAAACTAAACACCTAACAGCTGATATTTCCTCAACCTATATGTGTCATAAGTGATTTGAATCTTCATTATTCACCCAAAGGGTTATAGAATAAGAAGAAACCTCGGACTCTCCTACTTCCACCACTTGTTAGCAGGAACTGTTTGCACTAAGGCGAAGGTAGAAGCATACTTCTCAGGGATTTTGCATAGGCCAATTTTAATTTTAATTTTTTTTGAAACAAGCATTCTGTTTGTAAATGTCCTCTAATGACAGAATTTCTCCTAATGCATGATTTGCATACCTTTAAGTTGATATCTGATATTCCTGGTGTGCTAATGTCCTCCAGAATTGCAGCCTTGAAGTCTTCAAGAGTCAAGGTGGATGACAAGGAAATCTGAAACAATGAAACACTGGGCATATTGATGGAAGAAAAAGGCACCACATAAGGATAGAAAGGAGGACAATAAGCACCTTTTTCATCTTTATTTCATCTTTTATCTGCAACTTATCATCATCGTACTGCAATTGATGTGAAAACGAAAGTTAAGTAAGCATTGCATGTATCAGCAACTAAACGATCCTTTGGATAAATATATTGCATGGCCTCCTTCCAAAGGAGGGTTACCTCAGCAATCAAAGCATCATAACTTAAAGATGTACATGGGGTAACTGATATTCAAAAGATGTATTGCATGAGTTGTCATAACATCTATACATATGAAACTAGTACTGAAAGATATTCTTTAAAACCACAAATAATGAGAACCAGTATCAGTGTGCACATACATGGAGAATTAATTCACTTGGTCGAATATGCTTCCTTAGGTCTATGATAGACAGGGTGAGGATATAGTTCATCCGTCCATCCAGATATTGATCAAATAGATTCTATTAACCAGATCCGTGCAGAACATTATAAAGCAGATCAGGTATCCAGAAATTTGATCGAGGATTAAATGATTCTATTGACCATAACATTACAGAATATATAAAGCAGATCAGATATGAATCTTTTTATTACAAATTGTTTGCTAAGAAATCAAGTAATTATCCTTTATCTTATATTTTTCTGCTGTATCATTAAGTTCTTATACTTTAACTTTTAGTTATAGATGAGTTTATGAGACTCAGTGAGATTCCTCAAAGCATGTTATTCATAATGACATACTTCTAATAGATAAGATAAGGAGGGATATAACTTGTAAGTTAGAACTTTGAGCAAATACTTAGAAAACTGAAGAGTTTTAAGTTGAATTAAGATAATAGACATAGGCTTCTTCGTATGAATAAGAACAATAGTCTAGTCAAGTAGAGAATCATATCGTCCTAAGAGTAAGTGTTTTAAGTATCAAGGTTCAATTATTAACATGAAAGGAAGACTTGAAGAGGATGCAATGTATAGGATTACAGTTAATTGGACGAAGTGGAAAAGTACTAGAAGGATACTATGTGATATGGGTTACTTCTAAGGTTAAAAGGCAGGTTCCGTATAATGGTTATTCAATCTGCTGTGTGCTATGATACTAAATATTGGGCAATTAAAAGGAAAAATGTCAATGAGATGGACAGAGGACATCAGGATGTTAATATGGACATGTGGCCATACTAGAATAGATTAGATTAAAAAAATTAAAACGTATGTCACAACGTTGGGGCATATTTTACCTAGACCTAACAAAGCTCCTGTCCCAAGGAATTATGTGACATGATGCTAGTAAAATATTTTAGATGAGGGAGGAGAGAACTATATTAACATGGTGCTTGATGTAGTTGTGAATAATTAGATCATATTCAATGTCCTAGTAGATATAATGATTGATACAACAAATTAGTAAATGAAAATCACATAGTTGATCCTTAAGTTATTGGAATAAGGCTTAGTTGTTATATCATTTAGAAAACAAAAGTAGCAATCCAAAATATGACAGTTCAACAGTCCCAACTATTAACATCTATGAGCATAGAAGAAAGATGGTCTCATTTCCCTCCATTCTGCGCAAGTGACCACTGAATCCAATGCCTACGAAAAACTAGACAGCAGGTCATCCCTAATTTCAAGCTTAAAGAGGGTCCACCCCTACCTCCAAGTAAGACATACTCTATTGCAATCAATAAAATTGTCTAAGATCCCATTAATTATTTCACATCCAGTTAATCAAATGAAAAAGCTGCCATCAATTGGCAGAACTTGGTATTTTGAAGATGAGTAATTGGAAAAACTCCAACATGATTGTAACACGTAAAAGTTAGCTTGTATTCTAACTAGAAAGCATCCTTCAACATTGAACTCCCATCTGTCTGTGCACATCTTAGCTTACATTCATATTATCTCATAATATTTTTCCCATTTAAAGTATTTCTCTTTCCTTCTTTCTCTTATTTTCATTGTCCTAACTCTCAATTAACTGATTCAACTCAAACTATTTAAACTGCAAGATCACTTTGTCAGCAAACACTTAGTCAACCAATAGTCCCAATTAAGTTAACAATTTATGTGGTTGCAAGAAAAATAAATTTCCCTATTAGCTCCTTTGTTTCAGTTATGCCGCTCTTACTGAAGGACCACACATAATTTTGGGGTCCTTTAAAGTAAAAAGTTCCAAGAACGTGAAATGATGCAGAATTTATACATGCTGTTAAATGTGGCAAGCCAGTGCCAAATGCATAGCTATCATATATGCCAATATGCAATGAGATATCCAAATGCTAAAAGTGATTCTCCTTGTCTCTATGTTTTCTCAACATATCTTTATTTGGTGCTTTCTATGTAATTAGCTTATGTTAGAAGTAATGGCATCCATGTCTGAGTTGAGTGAGACATATATTCGTCATTTACTATGACCTTTTGCAAGTTTCAGTATCATTGCAAAGCTAGCTTCACATGCATAGGTGGCGAAATTCTCTGATATCTTAGCATATGACAGAATATAACCATACAATGACTTTCATACTCAACTTCTCCTCAAAGCATCACAATTTGCTGATATCAAAATAAATAGAGAATAAGTTGGAAAATATAAGTTAGAACAGGAATTATGAAAAAATTTCCATCTAACTTGTATCCTAATTTAGTTAGGAATTAATATTTTTCCTTTTAGTAATAGGATTGTATCTTCTTTCATTTTTCTTTTCCTTCGATTGATGGGATTCTCCTCCAATATATATATATATATAGAGGATTGAATGAGTATGTAATATCATTCAACCTAATTTCTAAGTTGGTATCAAAGTTTTGGTTGTCCCAACATCTCTAAACCTTATAGTTGAATCCTCCAACGAAACTTTATCTCTAACAACCCCCTTGTAACGACCCGGGTCTATACTCAAGTCTTTAACTAACGTATTGTCCACTTTGGGTGGGCCTATACCTATTTACTCCCCTTAGGGATTTCTATCGCGTCCCCCAAAATTCGAACACAAGACCTCTGTCCAATGGTAGACTTAACTTGAATCTTGGTACCAATTGGATATTACGTTTTTTTGTAACAACCCGAGTCTTTATACCCAAGCCGTTAGCTTATATTCCGCTTTGGGTGGGCCTATACCCAATTACCCCCGATGGCTTTCTATCGCGTCCCCCAAAATTCTAACATAAGATCTCTGCCTAATAAGAGACTTGAATTGAATCTTGGTACCAATTGGACAAGTCTCTCATTAGGCAGAGATCTTGTGGTCGAATCCTAGAAGACGCGATTGGAAGCTATGAGGAGTAAGTGGATATAGGCCCATCCAAAGCGGACAATACGTAAGTTAATGGTTTAGGTATAGAGACCCAAGTCATTACACCCCAATCCTCTATTTTGTTTCGACAACCTCTACCATCTATTCACCTAGCTAATCTCTACCCTCTATCTCGCTCTGACGAACCTCTACACTCTATTTAGTTGCAGCGAACCTCTGTGCTTTATCTTGCTCTAGCAACCCTCTATCCCCCAAAATTAGGATGTTTAAATTGCAAACCCTAATTCAAGAACCTAAAAAAAAAAAATTCTAAAATAAGAAACCTAGCATCAGCCCAAACTTTCGACGTCCTTATGTTGACTCTGACTCTAGGTTCGGGTACAAAACTCGGGCACACTCTTTCCTTCTTGTCAGCGACTCTAGTTCTTGCTGTCAAGGCTTGTTTCAACCAATTCCTTGCTGCCGCGGATTTCATATTTCTTGTACCTAGTTCTTCTTCGTAGTTGCTATAAAGAAGTTCTTAGAAGATTTCTTGGGGTTGTGCTAATCATCCGTAGAGAAAAAGAACACAAAAAAGAAATTCGGGATTTCATATTTACTACATTCATTGTCGCTAAGATGTGTTCTTCAGTGCGCAAAGCTGACTTTGTAGGTTTGCTTTTGTTTACCCAATCAATCATTTTTTTAATTTGGTCTAGCTATTGGGCTAATTGGGGTTCCTATTTGAATTAGGCTCCCAGTTTCTATTTGGCACAATTAGTCCCTAAACTTTTAGATTTGTGCAAGTTGGTCCTTAAGGTCTCACAATCTTAAATATAAAACCTGAACCTTTATGAAAAATTCTTGAACTTTCAGATAGGTACCAAAATGGTTGACAAGACTATTTTGAGGCCTTTTGACACCAAGATTGTTTCTTCTTCTCTGACTATTCACGACACTACCTCGCCTATTCATATTAAAATGGATGGGGTTAATTACCCATGTGTGATCTAAAATTTTGGAGATGCCTATTGCGGGTCAGACGAAAAAGGGCTATATTACAAGAAGGATGAATATTCCCAAGAAAAAAATTCAAGATACGATAAATGGGAGGCTGCAGATGCTTTGGTTCCAACTGCATTAAGGAGGTCCGCCTCCTGCTGAATACTATAATGAACTTAATTCCATATTCATGGAACTCGATTATCGAAGTCCTAACGACATGACTTGTGCAGCCGATATTGAGAAACAAAGAAAGTGTATTGATGAGGATCAGGTATTAATGTATCTGGCAGCCCTTGAACACAACTTGGATCGAGCTAGTAGCCATATTTTGGCTACCTCTCCTATACCAAGTCTAGAAGAGACCTATTTACAAAGGCAAGTTACTATAGTAACGTAGGCCGTCTCTGAGGCTTCAACATTGGCTATCCTGAAGAATAACTCACAACCAACTAATTTAGCCCCTCTATAGGTCTGCACCCACTACCACAGTGCTACACACACAATTGATATTGGTTGGAAACTACATAATTATCTGAAGTGGTTAAAAGATAAGCAAGTTGAAAAGAAGAAATTTGCTCAGATTGCTACCACTGATGCCCCCGTCTTTTGCTTCTGCATCTCAAGTAACCCCATCATAAACGACAATCTAACCAAGATGATGATTGAAAGATAGAGAGGAGGATGTTTTTACTACTTGGAATTGCAATTAAAGTCGATAAACGGTTTTCAAGTAGTAGGAAATTCTATACTTCACCATCCAAGTTGGGCATGTTTGATATCGCTGCACCAACTTGAATCCGTATTTGGCATATTTCAAACATATTGTAATTTGAAATAAGAAAAACTATATGAGTCTCGACCATATGTAGCCATCAACGCAATCAATACATTCTAATAGCACATAATTACATATAAAATGCCACCAGTAAAAGTATGTTCATAGCAAGCTACTTAGAGCTTGAGCTTCTGAGAAACTGATGGGTGAAAATCAAATTTCAGCACCATGGTAAGGAGATCATCAACCAGGAATCAAGATAACATGTTCCCAGCCTTTATACGCCGTAGGTCAGATGAATAAAACGTATGTAACTTTCAAGAAACCTATCCATATAGCCAACAGTTAGATGAAAGAGATAACTTTGTGTACCTGCTTTCCAAGGTCCTCTATGACATCTTCGAATAGATCTTTTGCTGTAGAGCCTGCAGTATTTGAAGAGACCTCCAGATATGCAGGTGAATCTTTAACCTGAAACCATGACGAAGTTCAGATACAATGTACGGCAAGTTCTTTGTCCAAACAGTTCCCATGGGAAAAACAAAAATAACCTTCATGCAATAGTCACGCCAATGAGTTTTGGCGGTGAGTATGCCATTAGCAACGTGCTCGTGCATCAGCTTCCGGAATTCATCACGATTTTTACGTTCAGCCTTCCTCATTTCCTCCTAAGTTAGTTGTTGTATTAGCGTGAGTGCACAAGAGGGAGGTGAGTATGAAATTTTAACAGAACCACAGAAAAATCTCACTAAGAAATTTTATCAGAAAAATCAAGTACAAAGAAATTCTATTAGAACCACAGAAAAATCTCACTAAGTTACCATTCGTAATTTTCTTTGTTCCTCTTCTTCTTTCTCTAAATCACGTATGTACTCCTGATACATGCCAGTACAGTAATTACAAAACTGACCACAGTATTAGTGCAACGACACTTAAATATAGTTAATAGGATTTAAAGAACAACTGGTACTTGAAAGATTTCCAAGCGTTCAATTTTTTCAAGGCGGGAGCATCTTTCATCGGCTTCTAAGCGATCTTGAACTTTTCGCCACTGGCTGCTTGCCTGAACAGAAAGGTAATCAATAAGCAAAACTTTGATCTTCAAATGATAATTTGAGGACTTAAAAGAAATTTAGAATCCCTCAATAAAAGATACCTTGATAAAGTCACACGATTTCAAAAATTCTATATATTCAACTCTATGGTGTTTCTGCTCCTCCAATGCCTTAGCCCGCTCCTAACCAAAATTGCAATATGAGAAAACAAAGTCACAGGTTTTTCAAAGCATAAAAAATTTGTGATGCAATAAAAAAGTGACCAAAACAGATTTACAAGATACATTTAGAGTGGTCACTTTTTTAAATGAATACCCACAAACAAGAAGTAAATCTTGTTTTTGGCAGTCAGCTGTCTGTACCTCCCATGGATCAAATCTAGATAAATTGCATGCGCATAATTGAAAGGAAAAGAGAGAAAAAATATTAATCTCTCTCTCTCTCTCCAAACCCTGGAAGTCCCCACCCCCCCCCCCCCCCCCCCCCCCCCCCCCCCCCCCCCCCCCCCCCCNCAGAGAGTGGGAAGTCTGAAAATGAGAATTAGAGACTACTTGGTCTGCGCTTCTTTATTTTGAAATTTCATTTGAGGCAAGATTCGCTCAAGGATTCGATTGGGGATTTGGTATTTCATTTCTTCAGTTGCTTGAGCCTCTGATACTGGACTTGTGGAAGGGAGATTCCAAGTTGTTGCAGTACATTGTGGTGCAGGGCCGTGGCGGCGGCGTGACTATGGTGGTTGTGGTGGGGCTGCAGGGGGACTGGGTGGTGGCAGGTGGGAAAGGCATGGCAATTATCTGCTTAAATTCTGTCTAGAGTCTCAAGCAAAGATAGGTTAAATTCTAAATTTAACAAGCACAGGCAGTAGTAGTAATTCAATTCAAAAACCCCACCAGGAAATAAATTTCCCTCTTCTAGCATAAAGGATGGGAAAAAATAGCAACCAAGTTCAATTTGAATAAAAATGCCATACCCGGTATTTGAATAATGAAATATTGCATGTCCATTTATTATCCACGTTTTAAAAATCATATCAATAAGAAGGAAAAAAAAATGTGTATAATTTTGAAAAAAAAAAAAAAAATTCATAAGAAATTGAGTAGCATCTCCAAGATCTTTCGAAAATTTTAAAAAATTATGGTTCAAAAGCCAATATTTTATGGGATTGCTACAACAAATGAAAGAAGCAGACCAGTTCAACACAATGAAATTGAACACTGAAATTCAATATAGCATGTCCAGGCCCGCTTGTCCCCTCAATATCCACTACCTTTTTCCCAAGTTCCTCCATAAAGTCTTTAAGGAGGTCCTCACGATCCTTAGCTCGTTCAACAGCTTTGAAACGTTCATCATTTTCGAAAATAGATATTGCTTTGCTGCAAGAATTATGAACACTTTAATAAGATTTTCAACATCTTAAAACATGTAAAATGTAGACCACACTAAATATCAAATATTCCAACATAACATTATTATCTGATATTCAACAGCAACAATAAGAAAAGGGAGAAGAAGGACCTCCATCTTATTGATGTTGTCAGATCTTTAGACTCCTGTGAACAAAAGGGAAGCAAATAAATTATTTAAAGTTAGAAATTCCTCGTGCGTGAAATCACAAAAGGAAAATAATAAAAATAGTATGCAGCAGCAATTTTTCTTACTTCCAACATTTTTTTGAAGTCTTCCCGTGCTTTTTTCTGCCTAACACGCCTCTCTTCAGCTTCCTGTTTTTTCTTCTGTCCCATAAACTGAACATAGATCAAAAATATTCTTAATCAAGCACCAGATGATGGAAGTGAGAAGCAATGTACACGAGTCGAACAATCAATGACAAACAAATTACAAGCAGAAATTAACTTCACTGAAGAGGGGTACTGATCAGGAGATTTACCTCATTGAAAGCTTGTTTTCGCTCTCCAAGGGTTCTTAGAGCACCATATCTTCGATCATTTATTATTGCTCTCATGGCCTGATTGAATTCATTAATCATGTAAAAAGGTTTTACTGAAATCAATAAATATGTGAATCGGGAGCAGCAAACCTGATCCCAAGTCCAGTCAGGCCCAATATTTGCTGTTTCCAGAAGAACTTTAAATGCATTCTTTGCCTCCTGAAGAAAAAAACCCAGAAAGGAAGGAAATTTTGTGAGTACATAAACTAGCTGTTGATACCATCTCCAACTAGATTACCCAATCAAATACAAAGAACCAACGATACAAAAAGAAATAGAACTAATCTACATTACCAGTTTACTTTCATAGACTGTAGGTCCCTGATCTTCATTTTTCTCTTCTGGTGCATTAATGCTTCCACTTCTAGAAATTCCTTCACTTTCCATTGCTTCCTGTAAATGCTTCGACCAGATTATTTTGCAGCAGAATATAAATGGCACTGGATGCATCTCCCTACTGTTATATATAAACATAACAAGAAAAAAAGCCAGGATGCACCTCTATATTCCCTGGAGAAGTTGCATCTGCAGTAGAAGTTGGGGCATCCTGAGATAGCGTATTATCAGAGGTTCTCCTGTAAGGATCATTGAAAGTAAACTAAGATTACTGCTAATTACAATAATAATATCCACAACATGCAAAAAATAACTAAAAATAAATAAAATCAATACATTGGTGTGTTGGCCTGAGTAGTCCCAGCTGTGTCAGAGACAGCAGTTAGTGTTGTAGCTTCAGAAGTCATTTGCAGTCCAGTTGCATCTGCTTTCTCAGAAGCAACTTCCCGAGGTATGCTTGATGACCCAGAAATCACTATGCATTGTGGATTAGCTGCAGGTACAACTGGAATTGGACTTGATTCAACATTATCAGCTGGGAAAGGTGAATTATTTGCATTGTGGTTTGATGCTTTGACCCCACAAACAGTGACATCAGCTGAAGAATTAGAATTTACATCCTTTACTGTTGGTGTTCCTTCATATGAATCCACCTTTGCTCTTTTTCGAGCCAACTGTCATACATGTATACAAATCAAGATCAGATAAACCTCCAAAAAGCGATGTTAAGTCTTTTTTTTTTTCGTACTATAATATGACTACTATAAGGCTTGTCGGCCTTAAGCCACCTGCAGTTCATCTGGAATCGCCCATTTGGATTTTTTGGTAACATTATTATAGTAAAACCTGTAATATACATAAAAACAAAGAGGGTAAATGATTGTTCATGACTTCAAAAACTGCACTATAAACAATTTAATACATTAAAAAACACTTAAGTAACGCACTTTCTTCCCTCAGGAGTTGTGAATTCTCTCCAGTCAGTAGATGCATCTGCCCTCTGTCATAATACAAATACAAACTAATTAAGTGGCAAGTGAAGAAAGAAGTCCCAAATGAAAATCTAGAGGAAGAGAGTGGTCATTCCCTAGGCCTCAAATGACAAGGGAAGGAACTGTATTCCACGACTAGAGAGGAAATGAGAAGAGGGAAGGGGAGGGGTGGAGGACAATAAATTATATAAGAGCTTCACAAAGACAAGGTTCAAATTTTTTATGTGTCTTCTTTATAAAATAATGACGCATACTTGCATCTGACATCCACACCTAAATCCATGTATAATAGAGCAATGCAACTGATAAAATCTGTCCTCTACGTAATATACTTTTAAAATGGTCTGCGCATCAAAGAATATCACATAGTAACCATACTTCTGTTGCATTCAATTGAAAGATCAACTCAAACATGTAAAAAATATGCAATGGCAGCAAGTTTTCCTTATCTTACAACAACATGAAACAAAAGCATATAAGGACTTCTTCCAGTTCAAAGTTCCAAACAAAATGGGATTGGCTTACAAGGTATGTCATGTTCACTATCAAATAAATCAATAGGCGATGAGTGTATTTCACTCATCATATTAATGGTACTTAATCTTGATATTTCGTTTGATTCTTAGGGTTTTAAAACGTTTTGATTTATGTTTTCATATTATTTTATAGGTTAGGTGAACTGGTGTGAATAGTGTAAAACTTGGAGGAAAAGAGTCATGTTGGCATGAATCAAGGAGAAGTTGATATTAATTAGGCGAAACTCGATGATTGGAGGATAAATTGAAAAAAAGAAGTGAATAACAACCAAAAAATGGTTAAATTCAAAGTTTAAGGACTCAATTGCAAATTTTTAATAGTTGATTCGGACCACCAAACGATAATTGAAGATTGCTAGGAGTCAATCAGATGCAATTAAAAGTCAAAAAGGAGTGAAGTATGATCAAAATATTTTTTAAAATATGTTCCAGATTTTTAATCGGAGAGACCAATTTTTGACATAGTAAACGTTCGAATTGGAAACGAGTTATTTCTAATATAGTTATAGCCCATTTAAGTTATATTTCCAATGTATTTTGAATCGCCTCAATCGGATATCAGAAGAAAAAGTTATGATAAAAATACTGAAGGACATGCAATGCTGATTTTCCACTAGTTTCTGAATTCTCAACAACCCAGCGCCGCAGGACGGGTTGAGAGTTTTGAAATTTTGGGATTCATTTTAAACCCAATCCGACCCCAACTCCTCTTGAGACTTCAAGATGATATAAACACCAATTAAGATGACACTTTTGCGAAGGAATTTCAATTGGAAAATTCAACAAGGCAAAAGGCAATGAATCAGTCAAGAGAAAATAAGCAACAACGAAAAGAAGAATTCAAGCTCTAAACCAGTTTTTAATTCCTTTCTTCTCCATTCTTTTTTTATTTTTGAATTGATTATGTCTCTTTCATCTATCATGAACTAAAATAATTTAAGGTCTGATGTAACCAACTTGAAATTATGTTTTAATTTTATTTAGTTATTTCTTTAAAATTTTCCATTCTGTTTATTTGTGTTATTGATTTTAATGGTTTCAATTATTTGGCTACTAATTGAATGAATTGATTGTCTAAATTTCGGCACGCGAGAGAGGGAACCTTAGACTTGATCATAGAATAACACAATCTAGATTTTATAGGTTTCAAGATAAAGTATAGAATCTTTGAATCAGTTTCACATAACAACCATGAACTTTTTTTTGATAGTACATAACAACCATGAACTTGATAATTTTAAGATTTTAATTCGAAATAGAGATATTGGAATTGAAGTAGATGCATAATTTTTACTCGTCGAAAGGGGGAGTAGAATTAAATTAAGATTCTTGCTTATAAACTTGTAAAAAATGATTAGAAATAATTATATAATTCAAAATTATATTTGATAGTTAGGTGAAATCATAACCCTAAACTTTCTCATCTTGATTATTCTTTTAACTTACATTTATTTGTTGCGTTTGTCACCACATTCATCAAGTTAACTTAGTTAAAACCCATGTGCGCCTAGGCAAGACGTGCGTACAAAACGCGTCAAAATGGGCAATGCGGGTAAAAATGCAGTCAACGGTTTTTGTTGACTGCCTAAGCACGCCTAGGCGTCTCAATGCTCACCAATGCGCGCATAGGCAAGCATCAGGCGAGCCTAGGCGCGCATTGAGACGTCTAAATTTTTTTATTTTTTTTTATATGATGTAAAAATTTGTTTTTTTTAATATAAAAATCTATTTATTATATTAAAATAATATTAAAAGTACGAAACGCATTATGACGCATATTCTCTGCATTGACACGCTTAAACTTGTGATTCTTGATTCTCGACCTCGACGCATCGCAACGCATTACGCATTTTAGAACACTGGTGAAAACCATTGATTATTCATTTAGATAAAATAAGAGCTACACAATTATAGTACTTGGTAGAAATTATATATCAATACCCTTGGGTTCGACATCCTAAATCCATTATTGTATTACAAAACTTGACACCGTACACTTGTGATCTATTTAGGTTGTAAAAAACGCGTAACAATAGGTGCGTGAAATCATGGAAACTAACACCTAAATAATGAAATTATTACTAAAGAAAATATATTTGCCAGTATAACATGCAGCAAAGACACATAACAAATCATCCCTTCCAACAGGGCACCACATCATGTACCTGTATGGACCTTATAAACATTGGAGCCAGCCAGTACAGCCATATAATCCAGAAAGATGCTCCAAGAGAATTTCATTTGCACATTCAATATCTAATAGAAATGACCAAAACTATTAAAATAGGACATAATTGTGGTGGCACGTTCAATACTATTCTAATAGAGGCAAGACATTCTATAAAAAGTACCGGATAAGATCCCAAATTCTTCATCTGGTAGAAATTAAAGGTCGAGGAGAACAAGAACTGATTGGCACTTATCCAAGGACCTATAAATCTAAGACACCCAAGTCTTAATATATTGGAGGAAGAAAACACTCAGATGATTGAACGAACTACCCTTCTCAAATTTCTTATACTATTTTAGTATATGAAAACAGACAGACAGTATTCAGAGAGACTTTTTTGCTTCCATCTAATGCATAATAGAAGCTAATAAAAATAACTGAGATACAAGCACTATCTTCCTGTTGTTTTAGACAAAGTTACAAACTCGTAAGAGAAGGTGGACTGATAAAGTTATAAACTTGCTAGAGAAGACGAACCGCTTATAATCTATGATGCTCGGACTCAAGAAAAGGTATTGGGAACAGATAAGTATCTAAACGTCGGATCTTTTATTTTCTAAAATGTAGAATAGGGGGCATTACTAAAAATAGCCCAAATTTCAGACAAAGGTACGACTTTCAAACTTCGATTTTTTCCCCCAGAAATTCACATGTAAAAGTTAAATAATAAATAAGTGGCAAATTGTTAAAAGAAGTCAAAAATGTGTTTTTTCTTGTCTCGTCTCCTTCCCCGTTTCATAATAAATGTTCATCAAACAAAATAAATATTTTTTATTTTAGCTATAGCGGAGAACCTGATCTAAAGGTCAAAAAATATCCAAAATCATACGCAAAATATAAAATATATAATTCGAAAAATAAATTATTATTTTTTAGCTATAGCAAATAAACTGATCTAAAGACAATTTTTTTTAATCAGAAATCATACGCAAAAAAGCCCAAAACAAAAGGCCTAGTGTTTTAAAATTAAGAAAAAAAGGCGACAAATCATATTTTTGCCTAATGTTTTAAAATAAAAAATAAAAATAAAATGTCCCAAACATAAGGCACAATACCAAAAAATAAATAAAAATAAATAAAGGTCCAAACCTATCATCTCCTTCCCCTCTTCCTGCCTTCCACTTCACAGTCTTCATGCACGGCCACTAAAGGATCCACTTCACAAGTCTTCCCTGGCTCCGTCCCTAGCCGTACCCGCCCCCATATTTCATACCCATACCTATGTTGTGTCGTATTGTGTTGCATATGCCGGCCAGAATACCAAGTCCGAGCATAAGAACTTATAGTAATATGCCTCAATAACAACTCGTAGTATAAAACAAAAATTGATTTGAACCTTATAGCTAACCATTACAGAACATTACTGCAAAACACACTGGAAAGTAGGAAAACAGGGAATTCAGAAATATATAATAATGAACAATGAGCTCAGTTGAAGAGATAAATGTTTTTCCTCTTGCCAGACCTGCATAAAGAGTGCCCATATGATACTCTCTTACCTCCAGGTTAAGCAAAAACTTGGTTTTGGCACCTATTCTAAGGATTAAAATGTATTGGGGGTGAAGGATATAAATATTCAAAAAGTTCAGTACAGATAATTGCACAGCATTATTATATATTTGGCTAAGACACTCCATTATCCTCAACCAGGCAGGAAAAGCACAAAAGAAACGATATTCGTACATAATTGGTTAACAAGTGACTCACTTCAATTTCCGTCATCAACTCCACAGGCTTTTCCCATGTAGAAAGCCCCGTCCTTCTGCTGTAATAATATCTACATTGCAGCAGAAAATAGTATGATTGCATCAATTATGGCATGCTACACTATATATGCATAGCTATGAAGGTGGAGAACAAATAAATTTAATAACATCATTATCATGCAACAAAGGACTCTCCATCAGCTTCCTTTGTAGGCAATACCAAATTCTCGTGACGGTATTCTCAGCCAATTGCAGGAATATTATATTAGGGGTGGAGAAACACATGGGGGAGCAGCAAAAGGACTAATGGAAACCAAAGGAGGGTCTTCACTTTACAATCCTTAAATAACTCTAAGTCAAATAAGTACATTAAGCCCCTGTTTGACACCCGTTAATTTCTCATTCTCATTCTTCATTTCAACCACATATTCTCCAAATAAAATAATATTACACACAAATCAAAAAAATTTCGTCACTTTTCCACCACACATTCTCACATGAATCACTATTCCAAAATTTATATTCTCCTCAAAATTAGATTCAAACACAAGCTAAGCAAATAAAAAATATTGAACTTCCAACAGCTATCACAGATGTTAATACATAATCAGCATTTACCTGAAGCTCATTACTGTCACTGGCATGGAGGACTCCAAGAACTAGAAATAAGCCAGCTCATGAATACAAGTTATAAAAAAACTAGCAATGCCAAAACTGATTATCGAACTAGAATAAGCCAGCTCATGAATACAAGTTATAAAAACTAGCAATGACAAAACTGATTATCGACTTCATAAGATAACAGAACAGACACCAGATACTGATTTTCCGTGAAAGACAATATTCTGTCAGCCAGCTCTTGTTTCAGGTGATTCAGTTGCTTCCATTTTCGCATGTCAAATAGTGAAAAAGAAGTAATAAAATGAATTACATAGTAGAATTTTCCTAAGCAGCTTATAAATCATAAAGAGGAAAAAGACTACAAAGGCACTGAGAATGTATCTCATTAGAGCTTGACACAGTTAATGATGAAGATCGTCATACAGATTGCATGAAGGCTTGCCTAAAATACTCAAATAATTTTGGGATAAAATAAGGACTAGATTCTAAATCACTTTCCATAAGGCTCTATGAGCAGAAGGATGTCGAACTATAGTTCAGAAGGGATTTCTCAAATTCAATATTAGTAATTGAGGTTACATAAAATTGGAGCGAGAAAAGGAAATATTTAATCCGTAAAAGTTTTCAGCTCAGGGTAATTATGTTAACGACCAGTTTGCAAAGTTTTCCATCCCAATTTTAGGATAAAGGATATAAAGAAGCCACCCCATCCCGGCCTCCCAGGAAAAAAACAAAAACAAAAGAAAGAAAAAATGATGATGATGATGATGATACCCAAAACAAAATAAAAATAGATCCATCAGAAAGAAAAAAGAAAACGGAGAGACTGGTCACTTCTTGCTTCTCAAAACTCAAAGAAGTCAGGCTTGATTCTTTGTTTGCCAAAAAGAAAAGGGGAGGTTTTGATTAACCCTCAGATTTCCTAGAAATACAACTGCAACAACAGTGTATGACATGCAAACATTAAGAAGCTCTATTGACAGGCCGAAGCATATTTAACATGACACAATTAAGATTATCAGTTATCAAACAGACCGTATAACTAACGATAATAATGATCTGAAAGCATAATCCTCAGAATTCCACAAATAGCTGATATCTTGTCTAAAATTACAAAGAGGCATGAAGTCCTATGAGAACCATTTTTGATTTTAACCATGTGATGTAATTGCTTGCATTTTAACTTTTTTAGTTCAATGTTTTTGTTTCTATGATGGTAGTGGTACAGTGTAATGAAAGATTCACAAAAAATAAGAGATTATGAATCGCAACATAATCAAGGTCAATTATAATCCATATAGTGACAATGCATTCAAGGACATCTCTGTACATGTGTATATATAAAACTCTATTAAGAAAATCACATACTTTTTCCCATTACGCGCAGTATGTTGTATCCACACTGATGAAGCTTTTTCAAAAGGGTCGGGCTGGATCTTTTCCTAAAATTGAAAGGAATGTCAACAATCTTAATTTTAGGTGAACATTCAGTTATGAAGGACAATACCCGAGTAGCATGAAATGAATATCAATATAAATTCAGAAAATTCTTACGGAATTCGCAATGTCAGCACTTTGTTTCCCGGTCTGCTCAGGAGTACCAGATTTCATGTTTTGATTCCCAGATGAAAACCAAAATTGTCCACCAGAATTTTGTTCACCTGTCTGCCCCGAAGCCACTACAGACTTTATGTTCTGATCCCCGGTTGAGTACCAAGGCTGATCCCCAGCACTTTGCTCCCCAGTCTGCTGAGATGGCAGGACAGATTGAATGTTTTGATTCCCAATTGGAAACCAAGGTTGTCCTCCAGTAGGAAAACTGGGGTTATTCGTCTGGGACATTGGCTGGTGCTGAGTTGTGGAATCCGCATTTATTTGTTGTGGGCCAGAAGATGATGAGGATAACTATTATTATAAAGTTAAAAGTATTAAGAGACAATATATTGTAAACTGGGCCAAAGAACTATAAGGGCTCTTGAAGAATCTTACATTGTATGAAGAAGAAAGGGGGATCCTGGGGCCACCAAAACTAGGCACAAAATTACTTGAAATCGGCACATGATGCTGAGGCTGTGGCGGGACAGACGTAAAATTATTTGGCTGGAAATTTGGCGGTGGAATCGGCGGTGGTTGTGGCAAGACATGTCCTGCTAGCCCAGGTCTTTCAGGTGGTGGTGGCACTGGTTGAGGGAACTGGATATGCGAAGGGTGAGGAGGCATCCCTAAGTTTGAAACTCCAACGGGCTGAAACTGTTGAGATGGCATTGGAAGATATGGCTGCGGAGGTGGTGGAACCACCGGTCGAAACTGAAGCTATAGTGTGATTAGCAGAATTGTTTGTTTAGATTTTAATGCTAAAACTTCATATATGACCTCACAAGAATTACAAGCAGATAAACCTTACTTGCATTGAGATGGGCGGCACAGGACTTGGAGGAGGACCAATAGGACTGATCATACGAGGCCGAAAAGGCTTTTCGCCGACATCCATATAAACAGAAAACCACGGAAATATTCAAGGCTATATAAGTTCATAATTATTCATAAATTACAAAAGCAAATTTCTCTTAATGTGTGTGACACAGATACTTTGACGTAACTATGAAATTCACAGAATGAGTTGAGAAAAACAACTATAAGGAAACATCAATAAATTGAGATTGTAAGCAGGAACATAAGAAAAATAAGAAGGGAAATATAACCATGACGCAATGCTAAAAGATTGAGATATCACGAAATTCAGTTCCAAAAGAAGGAAAGATAACATATGTCTTGTGTGCTTAGATGCCTCAATTGCAAATTCCAGAAAAAGCCCAGATATGTTGTTATCGCGTGGCTCTTTACAATGTTACAGTTCAATGTTCAATGAAAACACATTTTATTCCAATTACATAATCGAAGACACTACTCATTACTCAAACCTCAACATTCTTGGACATGTGACCCCTTAGTTGGTCATGTCCTTGAGTGAAATATTTGCCTTGACGAACACAGATGAGACGTATTCAGAATATGCTTAATAATTGATTTAGAAGTGATTGTTCGATCACTATGGTTCATAGTGACAATATCAATATCGTGTTACAGAAATAAAGGATTAATTTTTGTGGTATCTGACATTATATTTTACACATACTGCACATGACATGGAAGATGCATATGTGTGCAGGCATGTGAGTGTGTCTGCAGAGAGAGGGAGGGGGAGAGAGAGAGAGAGAGTTTTGCGTGTCTCTGTATGATCATCCAAAACTTTAAAATACTTCAACAACTATTATGAGATTTACAGTGGCAACATTTGAATGATATGCACGACCAGCTTCTTAAGTAATATATTTAAGAAAGTATCATAACCCAGTACCTGTGCGCCTGTGAATTGAGGGTGGTTATTGGCCATTTCAGGAACCGGCCAATTTCTGAAACAACCACCAAAAAACAGTAGTATATTAGCCAATTCATTCAGTATTGGCAATCATTATTCTCGGTGAAAAATATTTATGCTAGTTGTAACTAGTAGATGTAACACATTTTCCATGTGACTACTATGAGTTTTGGAATAGTGATTTTTTGGAAAAAGTAGGGAAAAAATTTGTGTTCGTGTGCAAAATATTTTATCGTGTGAAAGTGTGGTTGAAAATGAGTTTGAGAAAAAAAGAGTTATGATTCAATGGATGTCAACAAGGGTTTTATCTGAACAATCACAATTCGAGGGAAGATCATAGACTCTGATAGTGTTCTGATATTTTTAACAAACACTAGAGAACCAAAAGGCAGATAAGTGATGTCATTTACACCTTCACAATTTTTTGATACCTACATCATGGCACATGCTCCATATAAATCAGAATGGAATTACTTCCATCAAAAACCTATTTTTTCTCTATTGTAGAGGAAAATCTGTGGCTGATAAGCGATAAGATTTTGTTATGCTTTAGCAATTTATCGAATGGATAAATAGCTCGAGCATAAAGATTCACGAAATGTTATAGTTTCCACACTCCTCTGTAAAGAAAGGGAAAAAATTTAGGGAAAAAAAAGTAAAAATATTGATTTTGAATTTTGTCTCAAATAAATATCTTGATATAAATCAAGTAAAACTCAAGTCTTCACTTAAATCAAGAGATAACATCTGTTTACAACTGAACTTTTATCAATTTTCTTGGAAAAAAAAAAAGAATCATTTTTCCTTTTTTAACATTTAAGTTCAACAAATATTAAAAACTAGATGGGAACATGCAGTTGAGCTCAAGACTCTCACCACAGATTTCATCAACTATATAAATACAGAAACTCAAAATTCAGAAGGCTTTTGGCCAAATTCTTGAAACACCTTTTCAATCAGCACCCGTCAACAATCGTAAAGTGACCAACAGCGCTCTCTTTGGCTAATCAAAACTGAATTCTTGGGCAAAAAAAACTAAAGATTCTATCATTTGTCAAACATCACACAAGCCCTAAAGAAATAACCAATAAACTATAAAAAAATAGAAAAAATAACTATATTTTTGTTATTTTCCTTTTTTTTTTCAGGTAATACCATTGAATTCAAAACTGAAAAGGGCCATCGGGAAAATCGACTTACATTGAATTTGAAGAGATGATGCCTCCGTGGTTGAATTGAATTCAGAATGCAGGCAAGGAGGTTTGGGATTGAAAATTGGGATTTAATTTATTTTTGAGGAGGATAATTTGGGAATTGGCAGGAGGTACGCGCGGAGAGTTTTGGTAGGGGATTCCTTTTGAAGTTTGGCGATGAATGAAACTGAAGTGATATTTATATGTGCCCCATTAAACTATCTCTTAAAGCTTGTCTGCGCTAACGCCTCTAAGCATCTCTGTTTTTTTTTAAAAAAAAAATCATTCACAATTACATATTCTCACGACCAAATATTTTACCCCAAAGTTAAAAAAAAAAAACTCTTTTTTAATCACGTATTATTTAAAAAAATACTATTCAAAAACTTTTTTTTCCAAAAAAAAAAAAAACTCAATGATCGTCAAATGGGGGCTTAATTAAAAAATTTCTTTAAATTGATATTTAGGATGAAAAAAAATCTTGGTTTTCTATATGTATATTCAAGTACATATTTTTATTGAAATGCTAAATAATTTATTTGTATCAAATCTCAAAATAAAATTGTAGTAAATACATTAATAAAGTGGACACGCAGAAAAAGAAATTGTAGTAACCAACTTCAAATATATTGAGAACTGAGAAGGTTATCTATATCGACAGTTCGAACACCAAGAGTTGAGAAGAATACTTATGTACCATAATTATATTCTAGTACCTATGGTGACATGAGAGCATGTTTGTTTTTTTCTCTCGATCATGTGCATCACTTGTTACTCAACTTCAAGGGCAAAGTTGTGGCGATCATCGTTAAAGTACAATTCAACGTTAAAGAAATTGATAGTAGTATCATGTCATTGGAGGTTTTTAAATAGAGTGAAAATTATTGATAACTTTTACAAACTAATTAAAAGTAACTCTGATAAAGATTCAAATGTAGAGCAAACTCCACAAGTATCGTCATGAAGTTATAAAATTGATATTTAATGAGTGGACATTGATCCTAAGTAAGTGATTTCCATTGATATTTGAAATACATCTCGTTGTTTATCGTTTATTTTAGAATTTTGATATTAGGAATTGCACTATCATAAAAAAAATAACTTGTTTTAGATATTGTGTCTTATTTCCAATCTTTTATAATACGTAATGTATTGCGATGCGTCGAGACTGAGAATAAAAATAACAAGTTTAGGCGTGTCATTGTTAAGAATAGGCACCATAATGCATTTCGTATTTTTAAGACATTAAATATATTTTTATATTAAAAAAATAGAATTTTTTATATATCATAAAAAAATAGATTTATAAAAAAAGGGATTATACGGAATAATACACGCGTAGGCGCACATTTGGCACTCAATAAACGCACCTTTTATATGGAAAACGCATTTTTCGCTCATTTCCCGAATTCGAGGCTTTTTCGAGTTTCGACCCACGTCGTGCCTAGGCGCATCTAGACAGCGCATTTTCGCGCCTTTTAGAACATGGCTTATTTCTTTTCTCTAAATTATTAAATTTGACACCAAAAAGTGCTCTCACACCAGCACCTATGTAGGTATGATTTAGGTTTTCTAGGATAGTCCAAACTTGTCGCCACTTATTTATTTATTTTTCAGTATTATATTTTCATATTTTTAAATATGATTTAAATTTAAAAAATAAAATAAACAATAAGAGTGGATAACATGAAAAAATACTTTTCACATGCTACATTTTAAATAATGGTAAAAAAAAAAAAAAATACAATTTGCTGAAGAAAATTACATATATGCCATTAAAAATATCTGAACAAACAAAGATATTCTTATTTGAAATAACAAACCACACCCAGTACACTACCTCGTATAAAATTTTATATACTATTTTTAATTATTGATATTTCACTAAAAGCCTTTTGATCATCGTTAAAGTACAATTCAACATTAAAGAAATTGATAGTAGTATCATGTCATTTGAGGTTTTTCAATAGAGTGAAAATTATTGATAACTTTTACAAACTAATTAGAAGTAACTTTGATAAAGATTCAAATGTAGAGCAAACTCCACAAGTATCGTCATGAAGTTATAAAATTGGTATTTAATGAGTGGACATTGATCCTAAGTAAGTGATTTCCATTGATATTTGAAATACATCTCATTGTTTATCATTTATTTTAGAATTTTGATATTAGGAATTGCACTATCATAAAAAAATAACTTGTTTTAGATATTGTGTCTTATTTCCAATCTTTTATAATACGTAATGTATTGCGATGCGTAGAGACCGAGAATCAAAAAATCACAAGTTTAGACATGTTATCATTAAGAATAACCACCATAATGCGTTTCGTATTTTTAAGACATTAAATATATTTTTATATAAAAAAATAGATTTATAAAAAAATGGGATTATGCGGAATAATGCACGCGTAGGCGCACATTAGGCACTCATTAGACTCACCTTTTATATGGAAAATGCATTTTTCGCTCATTTCCCGAATTCGAGACTTTTTCGACCCACGTCGTGCCTAGGCGCATCTAGACGGCGCATTTTCGCACTTTTTAGAACATGGCTTATTCCTTTTCTCTAAATTATTTAATTCGACACCAAAAAGTGCTCTCACACCAGCACCTATGTCGGTATGATTTAGGTTTTCTAATCTTATAATTGATAACTATTGGACATTTAACTAATCCACGTGTCTAGGATAGTCCAAACTTGTCACCACTTATTTATTTATTTTTCAGTATTATATTTTCATATATTTTATATATGATTTAAATTTAAAAAATAAAATAGACAATAAGAGTGTATAACATGAAAAAAAATACTTTTCACATGCTACATTTTAAATAATGGTAAAAAAAAAAAAACAATTTGCTGAAGAAAATTACACATATGCCATTAAAAATATCTGAACAAACAAAGATATTCTTATTTGAAATAACAAACCACACCCAGTACACTACCTCGTATAAAATTTTATATACTATTTTTAATTATTGATATTTCACTAAAAGCCTTTTTAAAAAAAAAAAAAGATTATATTGAGATTTAAAAAATTTATTATGTTATTTATTATTTAAACTCTAACATGAAATCAATAAAAATTAATTTCAATAAGTTAAAAACATGTTCAAAAACATATAAAAGACTTCATTTGACTCTTTTAAGAGTGTGTATAAAAATAGATACAAACCTTTAACTCGTTGTTCACTTGTCAACTGCGATTTTACATTTATTCTGAAAATGAAAGATGAAGAGGGCAATTTTCATAGATAGTCAACTCTTGCTATATATTTGTAGTTTGTACCCAATTGTACTAAAGTGTCACAATCATTGACATAATATACATGAAATTTTATTATTGAACTGTTTTAAATACTCAACTTTTCTATCAAATTATCTGTTGCCATTCTATCAAATCATATGTTGTCATATTTGATTATGTCACTGCATCTGTTATATTTATTCTCGCAAAGCGGCAAAATCTTATGGCCCTTTCACTGAAAATGAAGCAAGAATACCAGGAGATCAATAAAATTTAAAAATGCTACATGGATCAGATCAATGATATGGTTAAACAAAAAGAATAGTGTTATGTACACCCAGTGAAATTGAACATTAGTTTATGTGACGATTACATGTCATTAAACGATATATTCATTTATGGCCTCGTTTGTCTCTCATTATTCCAAAACACTGTTTGTTACAGTAAGATTTTTCACCACACGTTCACTTAGCCCCCGTTTGACACCCATTTTTTTATCTCATTCTCATTCTCATTTTTCTACAGTACTCATTTCTAACCACACATTATCCAAATAAAATAATATTACACATAAAAATTTTTCTTACTTTTTAACCACACATTCTTTACATCAATCACTATTCAAAAACTTATTCTTCAAAAGAATGGATGCCAAACAAGCCCTTAATAAAATATTCTATACACAAATCAATAAAATTACTTTAAATTTCAACCACACATTCTTCAAAAAATACGATTCATTACTTCATTTCTTCTACAATAATGGGAGACAAACACACACTAAATGTAAAGTCATATGACTCATTTAATTGAATATATAAAGCGTTTTCGACTAAATTGGTGTACAATTCTAATGGAGATGAATAATATTACTCAAAAATCAAAAATACGTAAGAGTATTTTATTGAACAGTTAAAAAAAAAAAGAATAATGTTATTCATCCCCAGTGGGTATGAAAACACAGTTTAGGTGGTATTAAATGATAGGTTAAATGAAAAGTGAAATTAAATGACTTATTTAATTTCATCTATCATTTAATGTCATATTAACATCATTTAAACTGTGTTTTCATCTCAGTGAGGATGAATAGCATTACTCAAAAAAAA